GTTCCTCAACAGCTCGCCTGATAGCTCCAGGTGATGTCTGGATCCAAGGTGGTGCCCCGAGGTCACAGGGCTGCGGTGGGGGTTGTGGAGCTGCAAGGGGGGTGGGGGAAGGGGAGGAAAGCAAGGGAATAGGGGACAAGGAGCGCAGGGGTTGGACACTATCACCAAGAGGTGGGGACGGGGTTAAATGACACCTTTTCAACCCTAGAGATTCTTTCCCCCACCCTATTTCAAGACTTTTCTAGCACTCTACTCTTAGAGAGATTTGGTGGCCTAATGGTAAGGAGCTACACTGGGAACATAAAGGCACATGGTTTGAATCCACCAGCTGCACCATGGAATAAAGATGAGAAATCTTCTCCAGTGTGATTTATTGCTTTTGAAAATCTACGGGACAGTCTACTATGGGTTGGTTCTAATTTAACTACGTAACAACAATAGTAACTAAATAGCACAAGAAATTATGAGTAGTCTTTTAATATGCCATTACTGTTGTAGTTTAAGATTCATGAGGACAGATTCTGTCTCTGCCATGTTTCTGTAATGCCAAGTATAATGCTATGACACCCAGGTGTTCAGGAAATCATTTTGATCGTGGCAAATAAACATCATAATCAGGATTTGAATTCCGGTCTATTATAACTTCAAGTCCTTCCTTTAAATTATGCCATACACAGACCGTGACAGGAAGTATTTCTTAAATGAGATTACCCAAGAGACTTTCTTCAATTCTATTGGCTTTCAAACTGTAAAAGTTACTCATTAATCTATAAACTGGCTAAGGTGTGGTTCTGAGATAATGAACTGTCTTCAAAAGGTCTGTTTGTATGTGTGTGTGAGTAGTTGAGCTCTCCTAAAAGTCTTATTGAGCAAATATTTTGAGAGAAAACTAGCAGGAGAGGCTCTAAAACTAGATGTTTCATAGGAAACTTGACATTAGGTAGGTGCATCTACTGGTTTACCAGTGTGTCTAGTTGAGCTGAGCTTGAACACGTTTGCCTTGTGGAAAACCAAAACTGAACAGCAAACATCTAAAATGAAGACACCTAAAACTTTTGAGGAGCAAACAGAATGCATAGTGGAAGCTCTGCTTGCAGACTTCTCTGGAGGAACATTACAGGTTGCTAATCGGAACCTCAGGGGGGTGACTGAACCAGATTCAGGTAAGGTTCTACCTGAGGAGATGGTTGAAGGTTAGGAAGAGAATCTGATTATGTTTGCTTTTTTCCTCTTGGGTTTCAAAAGACAAAGTCTAAACTTTCAGCAACTCCTGAAGTCTTCATGGAAGGGAGAGAAATTCTCAGGGCAGGGGAATGGAGGATTTTTCTGTTTCTGATCACAGTATTTTTAAGTTGTTCTTGGGAGAGAACAATGCTAAAATTGCATAAAAGTTTAGAGAATATTCTCCAATGCCCAAATGCTTAGTGTTAGCCATCCTTTTAAAGACTGTGACAATTGTGTTCTCTCTTTCCTAGGAGAACCTAGCTCTTTTGATGTGGCCATCATTGTTGGTCGCCTTCGGATGATTGGAGATGAGTACAATGAAGAATTGGAACTTAATGTCAAAAATGTTATTGCAGAAGCTGCTAAGAGCCAGGTCAAGTTCCTATTTTTTTATTGTTTGCTTCTCTTTTCTATTCCAGATTCTCTGTTCCTGCTTCTCCTATACTAGTGTGACTAGAAATGTTTTGTAAAAGATTAGGGATTTATATGTATCCAAGCAAATACTTGAGAAATGCTAGGGTTTTTTTTTTATTACTGTCTTCTTTTTTATTATTATTAATTTTAATGAAAGTTTACAGAGACTTTGGATTTCCATTCATTCATTGTTCCACTTTTCTCCCTGCCCAACCTCCCCCCCACCGCCCCTGAGTTCACTCTTCTCTTTGAAAAGTAAAAGAAAAATTCTTTCATTTTTATGCAATTCCTCCCCCAAAGTCCACTCCACTATGCAGCCTTCGTTCTGGATTCTTGTTATGACAATAATACCTAATCATATATCCCTTTAAAAACAGTTCTTTTCCTCATCTGTTTCAATGCAGTATACAAAATTTATCCCATCTATCTCAGTCTCCACCTAACCCCGATGCCAGTCCCATTTTACAACAGTGGCACTATGCAATATTTGTCCTCCAGGATTACCCATTTTGTAGACAATTGCTAGTTCTTTAATGGTTATTCAAAGTCTAAGTGAGACTGATGAGTGACTTAATAGAGCTGATTGACCCTCCTTTAGGTTGCCTCCACTGGTTTATATCAGTTCTGTGCTTTGTCCACTTTTCTTGTCAAAGTGTCTTTTATATATCTTTTTTAGTACTTAAACTGCATAGAGGCTAAATTAGTTGAGCATCTTTATGCCCCCAGGAACTACCAGTGAAAGAATGAAATGATATTCAGAAAAAGCAGACAATTGATAAATTGTATCATGAACTTGTTGTTGTTATGTGCCATCGAGTTTCTTGTGACTCATAGCGACCCTATGTATAAGAGCCCTAAACCTATCCTGTGCCAACCTTACCATGTCTGGCACATCTATTCCCATTGCCCCAATCACTGAACCGATCCATCTCATTGAGGGTCTTCCTCTCTTGCACTGTCCCTCCACCCTCCCAAACATGTTGTCCCTCTTCAAGGAGTGGTTCCTCCTTGCAACATCTCGAAAGTATGTCAGACAAAGCTTCAGAATCCTTCGCTCCAAGGAGCAGCCCAGTTTCACCCTCTCTAGGATAAACCTGTTTGTTCTAGCAGTCCATGGTATAGTCAACACTATTTTCTAGCACTACATCTAAAAGGCATCAATTCTCTATTATCCCTATTCACTGTCTAGCTCTCTGATGCATAGGACACAATTGCAAAGACTATGGCCTGGATCAGGCACACCTTCGTCTCCATCCTGATGTCATTGCTCTTCAATACTCTGGGAAGGTCTCTGACAGCCAATTTTCCTAATGCAATTTGTCTCTTGATTTCCTGGCTGCTGGTACCAAGAGTGTTGACAGTGGAGCCAAGCAAACTAAAACTCTTAACAAGCTCAATCTCTTCACCATCCATAATGATGCTCCCAATTGGCCCAGTGGTGAGAATCTTTGTTTTCTTGATGTTGAGCTTCAATCCATATTGAAGGCTGCAGTCCTTGACCTTCTGCAGGAAGCACTTCAGGTCCTCCTCAGTAAGCAAGCAGGGTTGTGTCATTTGCATAACACAGGTTGTTGATGACTCTTTTACCAATCCTGATGCCACATTCCTCTTTGTACAGCCCAGTGTCCCAGTTGATCTGTTCCAAATACAGATTGAAAAGGCATGGAGACCGAATATATTCCTGTTGGACCTCCTTCGCAATTTTGAACCATGCAGTGTCTCTTTGTTCTGTTCTGACGACTGCCTCTTGGTCCAAGTGTAGGTTTTGCATAAGCACAATAAAATGGTCTGAGATTCCCATTCTTCTCAGAGTCAGCCATAGCTTGTTGGGATCCACACAGTCAAAAGCCTTTGCATAGTCAATGAAGCACAGATACACTTTCTCTGGTGCTCTCTGCTTTCTGCCAAGATCCATCTAACATTAGCTACAATGTCCCTAGTACCACTACCTCTTCTAAACCCAGCATGCACATCTGGCAGTTCTCTGTTGATGTGTTGCTCCAGTTGTTTTTGGATATTTTTCAGCATAATCTTGCTTGCATGTGATATTAATGATATTGTTGGATAATTTCCACACTCTGTCGGGTCACTTTTCTCTGGAAAGGGAACAAATATCAATCTCTTCCAGTCAGTTGGCCAGGTGGCTGTCCTCCAGATTTCTTGGCACAACTTAGTGAGCACATCCAGAGCAGCGCCTGTTTGTTGAAACATGTCAATTGGTATGCTGTCAACTCCTGGAGCCTTGTTTTTTGCTAATTCTTTCAGAGCATCTTGAACTTCTTCCTTCATCACCACAGGCTCTTGCTCATAGGTTATTTCATTAAATTCTTCTGTATCAGAATTCTTTCTGGGTACAGTGACTCTATATACTTCTTTCATCTTCTTTTAATGCTTCCTGGATCATTTAACACTCTGTCCAAAGCATCCTTAAGTATTGCCTTCATGGCTTGAATTTCTTTTTCAATCCCTTCAGCTGAAGAAATGCTGAGTGAGTTAGATTCTTTTGATTTTCTGATAGATCTTTGCACATTTCATTATAGTATCTTGTTTTGCCATCCCAAGCTACCCTTTGAAATTTTCTGTTCAGCTCTTTAATTTCTCAATTTCTTCCTTTAGCTTTGGCTTCTTGGCTCTCTAATGCAAGATTCAGTGTCTTATCTGACATTCATCTTGGCATTTTCTTCCTCTTCAGCCTTTGTAATGATCTTTTGCATTCTTCATGGATGATATTCTTGATATCCTCCCCACAGTTCATTTGGTTTACGCTCATTGGTGCTCAAGGCCTCAAACTGTTCCTGAGATGGTTTTGAAATTCAAGTGGGATAGACTCAAGGTCAAATTTTGGTTCCTGTGGACTTGGTTTTATTTTCTTCAACTTTAGCTTGAACTAGCATATGAGTAGTTGATGGTCTGTCCACAATCAGCATCTGGTCTGGTTTTCATAACTGATAGTGAGCTTCTCCAGCTATTTTTTCCACAAATGTAATCTATTTTATTCCTATGCTTAACATCAGGTGAAATCCGTGTGGATAGCCTGTGTTTGTGTTTCTTATAAAAGGTATTTGAAATGAATAAATCATTGAATGTGCAGAATTCTATCATTCTATTTCCAGTCTCATTTCTGTCACCAAGTCCATGTTTTCCAGCTACTGAACCTTCTTCCCTGTTTCCAACTTTCGCGTTCCAGTTGCCCATTAATATCAGTGCATCTTGATTGCATATTCAATTGATTTCTGACTGCAAACGTTGGTAGAAATCGATTTCCTCCTCTTTGGCTCTAACTGTCAGTCCATTTATTTGAATGATAGTGGTATTCCCTGGACTTCCTTGTCTGTGTATGGATATAACACATTGTTTTTCATGATAGATCTAGAAATGACTCTTTTAATTATGAAACCAACTTCATTTTTTCCTCACCTTTTCATCCCTGGCATAGTAGATTATATGATCATCTGATTCAAAATGTCCCATGCCAAGGCATCTCACTTCACCAATGCCTAGGACGTCAATACTTAAGTATTCATTTTTTTCTTAACAACATCCAATTTTTCTACATTCATGCTTCTCACATTCCACATTCCAATCACTAGTGTCTGCTTACAGCTATTACTCCTTCTTTGTGTTTCCAGAGATCTCAGTCTCAATTGCCATGCCTGCTAGTCTAAGTGCTAGTCTATGTGTGCTCTGTTATACATAGGGTTTTTGAGCCCTGTTATTTCAGAAGTGAATGGCCAATCCTTCTTCCTAGTCTGTCCTAATTTTTTTTTAAAAAAATAATAGTTTCTGACAGACAAGCATTTTACAGAAAAGAACAGATTAAAGATATTTACCCAATTAGAAAAATGACCAATAGAATCAATAAGGTGCTACCCACCCTTGCCACATGTATTTTGACCCAACCCTTTCCCATATTCACCAGCATACCTTTCTATTTCCTCCTATGCCATTAGATACCTCTCTCCCCTTAACCAATCCTTGATATGATGGCTTAAGTTTCAAACCATCAGGATTTCTGTGATTCTGAACACATCATGCTGCTGTCAGTCTCTTATGATGCGGCTAGTATCTCTTCAATGTAAGAGTATCAAGGACAGCTTCCTATCTTCAGACAGTTCTGAGAAAAAGTTCTTTGTCTTGAACTTCTACTCTAGGATTGACTTCTTGTGGGTTAATATCTCTTCTCTTCCATTTGTAGCAAGGTGCTGATGCAAGAGGATAGTCTACCAAGAGAACAAATAGGTGTGTCCTGGAAGAGGTGAAACCAGGTTACTGCTTGGAGGCAAGGATTTTGAAACTCCGTCTGTTATGGTGGTGCCTATTGGTCCAGTGGTGAGAATTTTTGTTTTCTTGATGTTGAGATACAATCAGTATTGAAGGCTGTATTCTTCAATCTTCTGCAAAAAGTGCTTCAAGTTCTCCTCACTTTCAGCAAGCAAGGTTGTGTCATCTGCATAACACAGGTTAAATGAGTCTTCCTCCAATATTGATGCCACATTCGTCTTCATAGAATAAAGCCTCTTGGGTAAATTGGTCAGCATCCAGACTGAACAGGCATAGAGATAGGGTACAACCCCGATGCATACCTCTCTTAATTTTAGACCATGCAGTGTTCCCTTGTTTTGTTTGCACAACAGCCTCTTGATCCATGTCTGGGTTTCACATGAGCACAATTAAGTGTTCTGGGATTCCCATTATTCTCAAGGTTAATCATAATTTGTTATGATTTACACAGTCAAATGCCTTTGCAGAGTCAGTTAAACACAGATACACATTCTTCTCGTATTCTTTTTTTCCTTGTTTCTTCTGGTATTCTTTACTTTTAGCCAGGACCCATCTGACATCAGTAATGATATCCCTGGTTCCATGGCCACATCTAAATCCTGCTTGAACTTTTGGCTGCACTTTGTCTATGTACTGTTCCAGCCTGTTTTGTTTTGTTTTTAAATAAATCTTTATTGAGCATCTGCGAAGGCCAGAAAGGATGCTTCTCTGTTTCCATATAGGGTAGGTTGGGCAGAGGAATCTGTGTTCTAGGTCGCTGTTGTTGTTGTTGTTAGGTGTTCTCAAATTGAATACAACTCTCAGTAACCCCGTGAACAACAGATCTAAATCCTGTCCTATGGGAGCTCTGGTGGCCTAGTGGCAAGAAGCTGCACTACAATCCTGAAAATGCATGGTTCAAATCCACCAGATGCTCCTCTGGAGAAGGAGAGGCAATCGCCTCCTGTGTCAGTCAGATCTGATCTGATGGTACACACACACACAAAATAATAAAATAAAGTTAAAAACCTCTGTTCTATCTTGTGTCAACCTCATAATCTCTGACACACTCAAGCCCATTGCTGCATTCACTGTGTCAATACACCTGGTTGAGGGTCTTCATTCTCTTCACCATCCCTTTTTCAAGTAACCTCTCCCAGCAATGTGCCAAAAATATGTGAGACGAAACTTCATAATCATTGCCTCCAAGAAGCATAGTGGCTGTACTTTCTCCAAGATATATGTTTATTCTATTGGTAGTCTATGATATAGAATATGATATATTCAGTACTCTTCTCCAACACCCCAGTGTTGTCTTTGAAGACATCAATTTTTTTTTTGTCATCTGTATTAATTGTCCAGCATAGCAAGTGATTGGAAAGACCATGACCTTGAATCAAGTGCACCTTAGTCCTTAAATTAATATCATTGCTCCCCAGTAATTTGGAGAGGGCCCTGACTGCAGATTTTCCCAGGGCACTACATCTCCTAATCTCCTAACTGCTGGTACCAAGAGTATTGATTGTGGATGTTCTAGCCTTTTTTAATGATTCTCACTAGTATTTTGCTTGCATATGATATTAATGATATTGTTCGATAGTTTCAACATTCTGTTGGGTCACCTTTTTTTTTAAGCTTCAGAAGTTGGTGAGCTCTGGTGGCCTAGTGGCAGGAAACTGCACTGCAATCCCAGAGGTGCGCGGTTCATATCAACCAGATGCTCTGCTGAAGAAGGAGGAACAATCGCCTCCTGTACCAGTCAGATCCAATTTGACGGTACACACATTAAAAAAAAAAAAAAAAAAGAAGAAGTCATACTGTCTTTTAATGAGTCAAAATAATACTTGGAAGCATTTAGAAACCTAAGCTAATTTTTTTATTTTAAACAATAGATTGGATTCCACATTATATTTGACTCAAATTTACCAGTTAATTTACTTAAATTTATCTTGTTGTTTTTGTTGTTATGTGCCATCGAGTCGTTTCCGACTCATAGCGACCCTATGCACAACAGCTCTAAACCCTGCCCTATCCTGCGCCAACCGCACCGCCTCCGACACACCCATCCCAATTACCCCAGTGACCGAATCAATCCATCTCATA